ACCCCAACCACGAGGGCATCCCCGTGCCTTTATCTTATCGCTGCCTTTCAGCCCCAGCCAAATTCCACGGGCGGGCGATGACCCCGCCGGGTGCCAGCCCGGGGGGCAGGGGCAGCTGTGGGGCACGGAGCCCAAACCGTGCCCGGTGCCAGCCGTGCCCTGGGCGGGTGGGGGAGACGAGTGGCCGAACCCGTTCGTCCACCACCACCGGCTTTGTCCCAGGGTGAAGGAGCTAATCCCGGGTTTAATTACCCCTAAATTCAGCGGCAGATAAGCTAATCAGGCTCATTAAGGGGAGGGCCTCGGCTGGTACGGAGATTTGAGCCGTAGCCTGGTTGGGGTGAGTGGGGTCACATGGAGAGGGGACCCTGGGTCCCCCAAACCTCCCAATCCTGCAACCCAACACCCTCCTGCCTGTGCTGGGGGGCTGTGACCCCCCTGGGGGTCACAAACAGCAGGGGACACAGTGACCAGCTCCATCCCAAAGGATGCCACTGGTGGGGACTGATCTTCTTGGTCCCTCCCTGAGGGGACCCCAAATCCCCCAGTGCTGCACCCCAACACCTCCTGCTTGTGTCATGGGACTGTGACACACTGCAGTGTCACTGAAATTGGGACATGTGGTGATCTCCTGGTGACTGGCTTCATCCCAAGGATGCCACTGGCAGGGCCCGGTCTGCCTGGTGCCTGCAGGGCACCCTCTGAGGGGCCCCAGCTTTGCCAACCCCCCAGTCCAGCACCCTGCACCCTCCTGCCTGTGCCGGGGGGGCTGTGGCCCACTGGGGGTCACTGGAGCAGGGGTACACACAGTGACAGCCTCCAGCCATCCCCAAGGACACCCCTGGCGGGGACTGCTTCGCTCTTCCCTGTGGGACACCCCGGGAGGAGAGGGATGGTGGCAGCCCACACTCACACCTGATGTGAGGGCCTGGGGACAGCTGGTGCTGGGGGACACCCAGAGCATGGCAGCCAGCCTGGGGACAGTCCCCGCCAGGTGACCGCTGATCCTGGCTGCACATGGGGCAGGGAGGGAGCGCAGGGTGACCCTTCTCCCCTGGCAATGTCCCACTCCTGGCTGGCATGTTTGTAGGGGGACAAGGAAGAGACAAACCTCCAGCCTCGAGGTTTTCGGGGAGGAGCAGGGATCCCTTCACCAACTGTCCCTCTTGTCCCCGCAGTTCCGGGAGAAGCTGCAGGACGTGCTGCCCTCCCTCCCCTCCCAGGACGACTATTTCCTCCTGAAATGGCTCCGAGGTAACCCTGAGGTGGGGACAGTGCTGGCGGGGTGGGAGCCCCATGGGGTGGTGGGGGGCTGAGCTCTCTGCTCTCTTGCAGCACGCTCCTTCGACCTGCCCAAGGCAGAGACGATGCTCCGCAAGGTGAGAGGGGCACCCTGCTTTTGGGGGCACCCTGCAGTGCTGGGAAATACCTGCATGGGACCCCATGCCCTGGGCCAGCAGCCCCAGCAAGGGGAACCCACCCATGGGGTTCACCTCGTCCCAAATCTCCCCCTGGCCCGCTCTGCCCCCGCTGCAGCACGTCGAGCTCCGCAAGCACATGGATGCTGACAACATCATCGCCTGGGAGCCACCTGAGGTGAGTGTCCCTGGCCTCCCGGGGGTGGCCCTGGAGGAGACCGTCCCCCTGAGCGCCCTGGGCTGTGTGTGAGGTGCTGGAACCCCCGTGCTCCCGCAGGTCATTCGGAAGTACATGTCCGGCGGGCTGTGCGGCTACGACCGGGAGGGCAGCCCGGTGCGGTACGAGATCGTCGGGCCGCTGGACGCCAAGGGGCTGCTCTTCTCCGTCTCCAAGCAGGACCTGATCAAGAACAAGTTCCGAGACTGTGAACTGCTCCGGCACGAGTGTCAGCGGCAGAGTGAAAAGGTGGGAACCTGCCCACACTCTGCTGGCCCCAACAGGCCTGTGGGACCCTGTCCCTGCCAGCTCCATGTGTCCATATCTGGTCTGCCCCTACCAGTCATCATCTTCCCCAGCCCTATAGGTCCCCGTCCTGTCCATTTCCCTCTGTCCGTGTACCTGCCAGCCCCATAAGTCCATGTCCATTCGCACAACTCAAAGTCCTCCCCAGCCCCACATGTCCATTTCTGGTCCATTCCTACCTGACAGTGTCCTTGACAGCCCTTGATCCATGTCCTGTCCACCCGCCTCAGCCTGTGTCCCTGCCAGCCCATGTCCTGTCCATCCCCACCACCCAATGTCCTCCCCAGCCCATATGTCCATCTCTGTCCATCTCTCCCAGCCAGTGTCCTCACTTGCCAGCCCTACAGGTCCATGTCCAGTTCATCTCCCTCAGCCCCACAAGTCCCATGTCCTGTCCACCCCACTGTGGATCATGTCCCTGCCAACCCCATATGTCCATCTCTGGTTCATCCTCCCACCCCACAAGTCCACATCCTGCCCATCCCCACCAGTCCATGTCCCCGCTGTCCCTCAGCCCGTGTCCCTTTCCCAGCTCCCACGATGCCCCTTCTCCCCATACCAGCGCTGAGGAGGAGGCTCTGGCTGGCGTGACCAGCCTGTTGGGGCCACCCCATCCCTAGACCTCCCCATGGCTCCTGCCTGATCCCCCCCATCCTCCCGTCCCAGCTGGGCAAGAAGATTGAGATGGTGACGATGGTGTACGACTGTGAGGGCCTGGGCCTGAAGCACCTCTGGAAGCCAGCTGTGGACACGTATGGGGAGGTGAGGGCTCCTGCCCACCCCCCTTCCCACTGGACCGCAGGGGGCTGGGTGGGCTGATCCCTGGGATGATGCAGGAGCAGGTCCCCGCAGCGCCCTGCACGCCCCAGTGTTCTGGCTGGGGTCCTGCTGGGGGCATGGCATGGGTGACCTGAGCTCCCCCGTCCTGCAGATCCTGTCCATGTTCGAGGAGAATTACCCCGAGTCCCTCAAGCGTCTCTTTATTGTGAAGGGTGAGTTTGGCCCCGGGGTCCTGCTCCCCTTTTCCAGGTGCTTTTGCCTCCCTAATGGCCCCCTCTGCCCCCAGCCCCCAAGCTCTTCCCCGTGGCCTACAACCTGGTCAAGCACTTCCTGAGCGAGGACACGCGCAAGAAGGTCGTGGTGCTGGGATGTGAGTCCTGACCCTCCCCAGGGTGTCCCAAATGGGGGTGACATGTCCCCCCCTCTGCTGTCACCCTGCCCAGGGGAGATACTCCAACGTGCCGCCCCCCAAACCTGCTGTCCTCCCCCCCAGCCAACTGGAAGGAGGTCCTGCAGAAGTACATCGACCCCGCGCAGATCCCGGTGGAGTACGGGGGGACGCTGACGGACCCTGACGGGGACCCCAAGTGCTCCAGCAAGGTAGGGGGAGCCCCCGCTGGGCTCTTCAGGGGTGCTGGGCAGTTCCCCCACCCCACATCCTCCATCCCTTCCAGATAAACTACGGGGGGGATGTGCCCCAGCATTACTACGTGCGGGACCAGCTGGCACAGAAGTACGACCACTCTGTCGTGGTCAACCGGGGCTCGTCCCACCAGGTGGAGTACGAAATCCTCTTCCCCGGCTGCGTCCTCAGGTGAGCGGCAGCTCGGTGGGGAGTGGGTGACAGCCGCGGTGGCCGTGGGGAGCGGGTGACAGCCGCGGTGGCCCCAGTGTCCCCAGCCCGCCGCAGCACCGCCCCTGTGCCGTGCAGGTGGCAGTTCCGCTCCGAGGGCGCCGACATCGGCTTCGGGGTGTACCTGAAGACCAAAGTGGGGGAGCGGCAGCGGGCGGGCGACATGACCGAGGTGCTCCCCAGCCAGCGCTACAACGCACACATGGTGCCCGAGGACGGCTCCCTCACCTGCTCCACGCCCGGCATCTGTGAGTGCCGAGCCCTCCCCGGGGCGCTGCGGGGCGTCCCCCGTGTCACTGATCCGTGTCCCTGTCCCCCCGCAGATGTCCTGCGCTTCGACAACACCTACAGCTTCCTCCACTCCAAGCGGGTGAGCTACAGCGTGGAGGTGCTGCTGCCCGACACGGCCTCGGCCCAGCAGATGCGGGGGGAGTCCCCCAACCACAGCCCCTGAGCCCCCCGGGCTGCCCCGCGGGAGGATGGAGCCGGGGCTGAGCCCCGCAGCTGCCGGACTGAGAGGGGCCGAGCTCCCGCAGCCCCCCAAACTCTGTGCCTTATGTGGGTCCCGACCCACCGCTGCTGCTGCTGCTGCTGGGCTGGGGAGTAAAGGGATGGACTGAGCGGGGTCTGCTCCGCTTTGTGGCTGCCCCACACCCAGAGCCGCCCCTGCTGCCGCCTGAACCCCGCAACCAGACCAGCGCCCCGGCCCCCGAACTGCCCCCGGCCCCCGAACGGCCCCCGAACTGCCCCTCAGTCTCACAGCTGCTCCCCCAGACCCACAACTACCCACCCAGACCCACAACCGCCCCTACTACCACAGCCACCCCAGCTGCCCTCAGCCCCACCATTGCCCCCCAGCCCCACAGCTGTGCCCCCAGCCCCACCACTGCCCCCCAGTTTCCCCCTCAGTCCCACCATTGCCCCCCCAGCCCCACCATTGCCCCCTCAGCCCCACCACTGCCCCCTCAGCCCCACCATTGCCCCCCAGTTCCCCCTCAGCCCCACCATTGCCCCCTCAGCCCCACCATTGCCCCCCAGTTCCCCCCCAGCCCCACCATTGCCCCTCAGCCCCACAGCTGTGCCCCCAGCCCCACCATTGCCCCCTCAGCCCCACCCATTGCCCCCTCAGCCCCACCATTGCCCCCCAGCCCCACCATTGCCCCCTCAGCCCCACCATCGCCCCTCAGCCCCACCATTGCCCCCCAGCCCCACCATTGCCCCCCAGCCCCACCATTGCCCCCCAGTTTCCCCCTCAGCCCCACCATTGCCCCTCAGCCCCACCATTGCCCCTCAGCCCCATAGTTCCCCCCCCCGTCCCAAGCCCCGCCCCCGATGACGCAAGGCCGCGGGGATCACGTGCTCGGCCAGGCCCCGCCCCATCCCGCGGACCCGGGGCGGGGTTATGCAAATCAGCCCGGAATGGGCGTGGCCCTGGCGCGCCATGGGGGCGGGGCGTGCGGCGGGACCGGCGGCGCGCGCCATGGGGCACGGGGAGCCCGACCTGTACCGGGACACGTGGGTCCGATACCTGGGTGAGCACCGGGAACGGGTACCGGCACCGGGCACTGACACTGAGCTCTGACACCGGGAACCGGGCACTGACATTGAGTACAGGGCACTGACACCGGCGCCGCGAGCTACGGGAACCGGATACTGATATCGGGCACCAGCACCGGGCGCTGACACCGGCTACAGGCAGGGGACTTGGGCATTGACATTGAGCACTAACATCAAATACCATCACCGGGACCTGGGCACTGACATCGGGTACGGGCTGCACAAACGGGGCAGTGATACCGGGCACCGACCCCTGTCGCAGGGTACCGACACCGGGGATTAGCCATTGACACACCGGACACGGGCAGCTACGTCAGGCACCACAGCAGGAGCCAGGCACTGACAGCCGGCCCTGCTTTAGGGACGTGACCCCAGACACCGTGTCGGGTACCGGGCACCACGCACTGCACTGCCCGGGTACCGGGCACCGACACCCAGCGCTGCTACCACAGCTCCGTGGTACCGGGTACCGGGCACCAACACCCAGCACCAAGTACCAGGCACAGATACGGGTTCTGGTACCACACAGCAGGCCCTGGCACTGCGTACAGGCATGGCACAGCACACCGGGTGACAGCACTGCACACCAGCACCGGGTACCTGTCACTGTCACTGGCTGGTGGCATCATCCACCAGCACCGTGCACGGCCACCGGATACCAGGACCAGTTACTGGCTCCTGCCAGGCGCTGGGCATAGATACAGATACCAGAAGTGGGCACTGTCACTAGCACTGGGCAGTCACAGACACCAGCCCTGGCAGTGGTCACCCCCAGCCCAGCGGTCCTGCTGCAGTGGGTCCAAGGGGACCCAGGCACTCCAAACACCCCCTGTGCAACACCCATCCAGTGACACTGGGACCCTGCAGGGGTGACATGGGGACAGTTAATCCCTGACCCTGCCATCCCCTCAGGTTATGCCAACGAGGTGGGCGAGTCCTTCCGCCCACTGGTGCCAGTGCCGGTGGTGTGGGCCAGCTACGGCGTGGCCACCGCCTACGTGACCGCCGACGCCATCGACAAGGGTCGGAAAGCTGCCACCGTGAGTGCCACCCCCTCCTCACCCCCCAGCCTCTCCCTCCCTGCCCTTCCACTGAGCCCTGTGTCCCCCCAGGCCCACGCGCAGGACCCCACTCGCGTGGGGGTGGCCGTGGTGGACACCTTTGTGTGGCAGAGCCTGGCCTCGGTGGCCATCCCCGGCTTCACCATCAACCGGCTCTGCGCCGCCTCGCTGGCCCTGCTGGGCTCCCTGACCCGCTGGCCCCTGCCCGTGCGCCGCTGGACCACCACTGCCCTGGGGCTGGCTGCCATCCCCCTCATCATCACCCCCATCGACAGGTACGGGACACCCCTGGGGTGGGGGACAGGCGGGAGCCACCACCCCATCCCCACAGCCCAGAGGGATGGAGCACAGTTGTCTCCTCGGAGCCCTGTCCCAGTGTGGGCTTGGGGCTGGGAGCAGAGGGTGGTGACGGGATGTCTCCACTCCAGAGGGGCTTTGTGGGGTCCAGCCAGGACATGTCCCTGCCAGGGTGGGGATTATCCGCAGCTGAGCCGGGATTAGCACAGTCAGGCTGTACTAAACCTGGGTTTGGTGGCGCTGGTGTCTCAGGGGATATTAAGGACAGCCCCACCCGTCCCACATCAGCTCCACTGCCCCAGACACGCCCTGAGTCCCTCTGACGCCCTCTCCTGCTGCAGGACTGTGGATTTCCTGATGGATTCCAGCCTCCGCAAGCTTTACAGGACACCGGGAGAGCCCCCGACGTCCCACTGAGCACCGCCCCGCACACTCTGGGGAAACTGAGGCATGCTGCTGTGACCCACCTACTGTGACCCCTCACTCTGGTGACCCCCAGAGTGGCCACCCTGCCCCACACTGGTCCTAATAAACCATTTCAAACGTGACCCCTGATGGGTGATGCTGAGGTGCCACCACAGCCAGGCCATGTCCTCACCTGGGGACACGTGGGTCTGGGAGGTCCCAATCCCTCAGGGGTCTGCCCCTGGGAGAGGTGCCTGCCTGCCCAGAGCAGCTCTGCTGTCCCCACCCTGGAACCTCTCCATCTCCACAGCCTCATGGGACATCCTGGGGATGTCCCCAAGGAGCTGTCACCATGTCCATGGTCTCCAAGGACATGAAATCCACCCAGCCAGGAGGCACCATCTGCAGCACCACAGGCTGGAGGTGCCACAGCACCTGGAAGCCACAGGAACCTGGAGATGTGGCTTGCCAGAGTAGGGGCACATCTCCATCCCTTGGTGGCATCCACACGCTACCAACCAGGAGAAGCTTTGGAGGAAGCAGAACCACATTTATTGGTGAGTAAGAGACTCTGGGCCCATCTGGCCCCGTTTCTCTGTCTCCCTGAGGACCAGAGCCCCCACCACGCTCTGCAGCTCAACCTGGAAGGGACACCTCTGCCTCGGTGGCCGCTGTCCCCGCTGGGGCCTGCCCAGGTGCCAGGTGTTCAGGGCCAGCCCCAGCAGCACCCCCAGCATGGCACTGCCCACCAGGGCCAGCCCAGCCAGCAGGAGCCTCTTCACCGTCCAGCAGCGTGCTGAGAATGGCAAAGAACACGCCTCGGGGTCAGAAGGGGGTTCAGCACAAGGGGTGGGGCTTTTGGGGACATGGGCACGGGTTGGGGTGTCCCTCACCTTCATACCACGGCAGCTTCTCCTTCTGCACCAGCACTGGTCCAACTGTCTCCCAGTGGAGTGTCCCCTCTCCCGGGCATGCTGTGGGAGGATATGTTCAATGCAGTCCAGCCCAGGTCCAGGAGGCCTCCCAAGACCCCAACACAAGCTGGGACCGCCCTGTCCCACCCCTGGTACCTGGCGTGTCTCCACGGAGGGTGTCAGCAGCGGGACAACCGGTGTCACAGCAGTGGCATGGGGAGCTCCGGACAGGGTCCTCTGCATTGTGCCAGCTGGGAGAGGAGAGGTCAGAAGTGGGGGGTGGCTCTAGGGGTCCCCAGACTCCACCACGAGACCCACATGGTGCCACCCCAGGGGAGATGTCTCCAAGCACCTCCACAATATGGGAGGGCTGGGACCTTTGGCAATGCCACCAGCTACCATTGGATAAGAGGCAACATCTACAGTGGGTGACTTGGGTGGGTTCTGCCCCAACACACCCACGGGTGCTCGTGTCCCCGGCCACCCAGCGTACCTGGCCGTGGTGTGGCTGTAGAAGCAGGACCTGGTGGCACGGCCTTGTCCCCATGCCATCAGCAGGCAGTGCACGTAGACCTGCTGAGACACCACGTCCTTCCTCAGGGACCTGCTCTCCTTCCACACCACCCTGTGGGGCTGAGGCCACCCCAGCAGGAGCACTGTGGCTCAGGATGGACAATGTTTTGGGACACCCAGGTCACTCCCCTCCCTGGGATCTCCATCCCACCACCAAGGGCGTCATCCCCACCTCACCTGCTGTTCCTCGGGCTCACCCTCCAGCACAGGGGCCAGCATGGAGAGCTGGAGGACAGACCCCCCTCTCTGGTGCTGGACAGACACATTCCCCAGCTTCTCCCCGTGCAGGCACCTGTGGCAGGAGAGTGACACAGGACATTCCAGGCCTGCCTCCAGGCTCTGGCCATCCCTTTCCATCAGGAGGTCCTGCAGGACCCAGGGGTGGCTGGAGAAGGAGCCCCCACTTCCTGCCCCACCAGCACTGACCCACGGCTGTTCACCACCATGAAGACTCTCCTGGAGTGTCCTGGCTGCTCCATGGTGGTCCAGTAGCACTGATCCACGTGGATCTTCATGGAGATGCTGGGACTGAAGTGGACACTGGCTTCCAGGTGGATCATAGAGCCAGGGCTGAGCACTGGCAGCTTCTCTGGAGTGGCACTGGAGTCCTCTGAGAAGTATGGGTTAAGTGTGACACCCTCCAACCTATCCCACCAGAGACAGGGCACCAGACACATCCCAGACCACTATCCCCAGAGCTTCCCCCTTTCAGAGCCCACCCCCCATCCTGGCTCTGCCCCCCAGGTCTGCCTTTCCTGCTCTCAGATCTACAGCGCCTTCCTGGACCCCCATGGAGCTGAGAGGGACCATGTCCCCCATCAGGGCAGAGCTGACTCCCAAACCCCATTATGGTATCAGGCACAGGGCTGGGAACATCTCGGAGCCCTACACCCTCCACAAGGCCAGGGAGCAGTTCCTGCAGGGACAGCCACCGTTCCTGGTGGTCCTAGTGCTGGGGCCAGCCAGGAGAGGCACTGGCTGCTGCTGGCTGAGCCCCAGGGCCTTGGCTGGACCCATCCCATGGTCTCACCCCCCCAGAGCACTCACCATGCAGGAGCCTCAAGGTGAAGTTCATGATGGGCTCCTCAGCGTGGGGGCGAGCAGGAACCCTCCCTGTCCCCGTGCCTGAGGACATCACTGGAGCTGTCACCGTGGGACCGGGGGGCTCTGAGGCAACTGGAGCCATGGTGGTCCCTGAAAAGGGAGGGCTGAGCCAGCAGTAGCATGTCCCAGACACAGCAAGGACATCCAGGTCCTCAGGTGTCCCTAGGGCTTGTTGGGGACAGGTGGCAGCAGCACAAAGGCAGGGAGAGCACCTGGGAGCACATCAGGGGCTCCTCTGTCCCCAGCCCTGTGACCCTGCCCAGGGCTGGGGACAGACCAGGAGCTGCTCATGGAGTGGGACACCACTGTCAGCAGCCACAGACCCACCCAGGACCCACCAGCCCTGCTGGGACATCAGGGGAGCTCCTGGCAGCCCCTTGCCCCAATTCTCAGAGCTTGGGTTCATTTTAGGAAGGTTCCTCTGCCCCAGGCCAGCCCCCAGGTGACCATCAGGAACCAGCACTGAGCAAAGCAAGGGGCACCCACCACCCCCAGGACAACCAGTGGGAGGAATGAAGGGGGATCCCAGCCCCACTCACCTGCCACCTCCAGCACAGCCCCACACAGCAGCACCAGCAAACACAGCTCCATCCCCGGTGAGCAGCATCCCCACCCCACCAGCTGGGGGCCTTTAAGGACGTGGGGCTGGGTGCCAATGGGTCCCAGCTGGCACTGATGGGGTTGGAAGCTTTGCTTGGTCTCTGCAGCCATTGGCAGCCCCACATCTGGGGCTGGTCCCATCCCTCACACCTTCCCAGTCCCACCACAAGAGCCTGTGCCCATCTTCCAGTCCCCACTCAGACTGGTCCTGCGGGTGGTCCTGAGCATGATCCCATAGCCACCAGTTAGTCCTGGTCCCATAGGTGCCAATCAGTCCTGTTCCCAGGTGTGGGCTGGTCCTCAGGAAGGTGCAGATCCCACCAGGAGGTCCCATCCCCACCAGTTAGTCCTGGTCCTGTGCATGGTGCTGCTCCCACCATGGCCTTTTACTCCTGCACATGGTCCTGATCCAGCCAGTTTGCCCTGATCCCAGTTCACCGTGGCCTGGTCCCATCACTCAGCCTTGGTCCCCTGGATGTCCCTGGTTCCACCGCAAGGTTCTTAACCCACCCCAGTTTTGACCCCACCATTGTCAGGGTCCCATGGCTGATCCTGGTCCCACCAGAGAGTCTCAGTCCCCGTCCCCAGCTCCCCTCCATGTCCCATCACAGCTCTGCTGCACAGGAACATCACCTGGGAGCGGCAGCTCGGTCACAGCCGGGACACAGACCTGGGGAAGTGCTTGTGTCCCTGGGTCCTGCCTGTCTCAGGGGTCCCCACCACAGCCCCAACACCCCACCACAGGCCTCCTCTGACTGGGCTGACTGGTGGCCTGAGTGCAGAGGGAATGTGGAGAAGTCCCAGTGCAAGTCCTGTGGCCATCCCTTGAACGGGGTGCCCCCCACCAGCAGCAGAGCTGGAACATGGTGGCACGAGTGCTTTGTGTCACCAGTGATGGCTGGTCCCACGGCTCTGCTGTCCCTGTGAAGCCAGCAGACCTTCCTGGGGGCACCTGCACACCATGGGGACGTCCCCCAGCGCCCAGCAGGGACACTGGAGACAGACCCAAGCACCCCACTCGCACTGAGGGTCTCATTGCTCAGCACTGACGGGGACAATGGTGCCAGGACCCTGGGGAGCTCCCAGGAGCAGGGACTGGCTGAGCATCCTGCTGTGGCTGTAAGAACATCCTGACCCCATCCATTCCATCCCAGAGAGGAGGAGATGGCTGGGAGACCAGCTAGACCATCCTTATATCCAAAACTACCAAATATACAATTATATTACAAAAGTAAATTGTTTTTTTTATTTCTGGTCTTTACAGAAGTAGCGGAACACAGGTGGGGGGGGACAAGGGGGTCCCTTTGCTGGGGGGTGGCTCAGCCACAGGTGCCATGTCTGTGCCCAGCCAGGGCTACTCTCAGTGGGACATGGTGTCACCAGTGTCATCCAGCCCAGCTGGGATGCACGAGGTTTGTCCCCAAGGCAGGGTGGGGACTGGGAATGGCCCCTGTCCTCAGCACCCCCACCGTGCCCCGGATGGCATCACGGGGACAGTCCCACTGCACCCGCTCCCATCTCCTCCCCACACCAGTTGTCACCAGACCCTGTTGGCCTTTTGAGATGTCCCCTGTGGGGACCAGGGCCATGGGCTCCTCTAACTGGGATGATGGGGGCGGTGAGGCAGTGAGGGTGTGCCCTTTGCCACGGGGACCTGTTGATAAAGGTGGGGGCTTTTGGGATGGGCTTTCCAATCTCCAAACGGCTCCGGGTCACAGCCTGGCATGGAGTGATGGCTGTGGGTGGGCTGAGAACATGCTGCACTCATCACACCCAGGGGCTGAGGCAGTGCAGCAGGTTCTGACATTCCCACACCCCAAAAGCAGGGCTCAGTGGAGTGATTTGAGGAGAACCTGGAGGGTTGGGTTCCCTGTGGGCATCTCTGTCCACCCTGGGCACGGGAGACCCTCTACCACTGCTGTCCCAGCACATCCCTGCCTGCACCCAGCAACCTGGTGATGCATGCTGCTCCCGCTGTGACGAGGCCACATCCTTCACAAATCCCCGCTCCAGCTTTTCCGTGGGGAAGGAAGAAGTGGATCCTGCAGGAAAACACCACCCCTGAGCCCCCAGTCCTTGACCCTGCTGATGGAGGCAGAGTCTCTGCTCTCCTGCCCAAGCTGGGGCTCTGCAGGAAGGTGATGGAGGGTCCCCCGAAAAGTTCCTGGGCTCCAGAGCCTCCAGCCAGTTCCAAACCAAGAGAACCATGAGTAACAAAAACGAAAGCACCTGGTTCTTCCCCAGGGAAGCGGGGCACCTGCCAGCCCCTACCACTTGAGGAAGTCCCGCACGTAGCTCCATAGCTTGGTGATCCAGAGGTTGGCCCCCAGGTCAGTCAGGTACTGGATTTCGGGCGTCAGCATCTTCCGGCACAGCTTCTGGTGCTTCTTGCTGATCTTCTTCTTCAAGTTGTACCCCAGGATGGTCTTCTCCCCCAGGGGCTGCCAGGGCTGCATGGAGGACTCCTGGATGGCGCTGGCGTCCACGGCGTGTCCCCCATCGATGCAGATGCTGGTCATCTTCTCGTTCTCCCTTTGCAGCTCGGCCACGTCCCTGGCCATCCTCTCCCTCCCGTAGGCCTCCACCTTGCGCCAGAAGGAGGCATTGAAGTAGCGGTAGAGCTTGGCGTCGATGAGGTTCCAGGCGGTCGCCTGCTCGTACAGCTCGGGGGTCAGCCGGGACACGGTGGAGCCCTTGCGGGCGTTCAGCTTGAAGTAGAGGACGTCCTCCAGCTGCCAACACAGCAGGTCCTTGAGCAGCACCAGCGACTCATCAAAGTACTCGAGCAGCATGACGAGGTGGAAGCGGCGGTCGATCTCCTGGATGTGCTCCTCCACCAGCGGGCTGTTGGCGTCCATGCTGCTGTCGTAGCCAAAGTCGAAGAACAGGAGGTTTTGGAGGTAGTGAGCGTTGAACCCGTTGGGGTCGTAGTAGTGCTGGGGGTCCCGGAGGAACTCGTCCAGCTTATCCTCCCCCGTGATCTTCCAGGTGAGGGGGATGATGGGCCCGAAGTAGTGGAAGGAGGACTCAAAGAGGTAGGCGGGGTCCCGCAGCACCGTCACGAAGGTGGCGTCGGGCGGCAGGAGCTGTCGCACCTCCTCGTAGTGGAAGCGCATGTGGTTGCAGATGATGTTGAAGCACACCCCGGGCCGGTAGTGCTGCACCTGGCTGCGCTCGAAGAAGGACGGGTAGTAGAAGTCGTTGCGGCCGTTGGGGAAGGCGAATTTCAGGCGATGCTTCTCCCCGAAGCGGAAGAGGATGTTGAGGATGGTGCTGCTGGCGGTCTTGTGGGTCTTCATGAACATGACGTTGAGCTTGGGCCGGCAGCTCCACCCCGAGGCGCTGCCCGTGCCGTTGGGTGGGGACGGAGCCTGGGCCGGGGACAGGTGGGAGGAGCAGGAGAAGGGGACGGGGATCCTGGGTGGGAGAAGAGGTGGAGCACCGTGGTGAGAGTGGCACTGGCACTTTGAAGGCTTAGGGATAGTCTGTGCTGGTGGAACTCGATCTGGGGGTGGGTTCTGGACCTGGGAATAGGTGCTGGACCTTGGGAATATATGCTGAACCTGGGAATGGCTGTTGGACCTGGAGACAGGTGCTGGACCTGGGAATAGGTTCTGGAAATGGAAATAGAGCAGGGGATCTCCATGGGCATGGCCATGGTGGTCCAGAGGTGATTCCAAAAAGTGCATTAAGGGGAGCTCTCCATGGCCACAACTGCTTGGAGAGGAGCTGATAACATTTTTATGGGGTATGAGAGCTGGGCCCTGGGGGAACATGTGAGGACACAAGAGATGTTATCTGAGCTGCCCGAGGCAGGGAGCAAAGCCCAGAGTCGAGTGACTTTGGACACCTGTAATGAACTCGCCAAACTGATCCTTGATGAGGATCTCATCCAACAGCACCGGGTTTATGAGGCACGTGGACCTTGTTTACAGCTTGGAGATTATTTTGATGACAGGCGGCACGGCCAGGAGCTGAGTGCTGTGGAGCTGTGGCAGTGAAAACCCAAGACTCGAGTCCTCTCCTCTCCTCTCCTCTCCTCTCCTCTCCTCTCCTCTCCTCTCCTCTCCTCTCCTCTCCTCTCCTCTCCTCTCCTCTCCTCTCCTCTCCTCTCCTCTCCTCTCCTCTCCTCTCCTCTCCTCTCCTCTCCTCTCCTCTCCTCTCCTCTCCTCTCCTCTCCTCTCCTCTCCTCTCCTCTCCTCTCCTCTCCTCTCCTCTCCTCTCCTCTCCTCTCCTCTCCTCTCCTCTCCTCTCCTCTCCTCTCCTCTCCTCTCCTCTCCTCTCCTCTCCTCTCCTCTCCTCTCCTCTCCTCTCCTCTCCTCTCCTCTCCTCTCCTCTCCTCTCCTCTCCTCTCCTCTCCTCTCCTCTCCTCTCCTCTCCTCTCCTCTCCTCTCCTCTCCTCTCCTCTCCTCTCCTCTCCTCTCCTCTCCTCTCCTCTCCTCTCCTCTCCTCTCCTCTCCTCTCCCTCCCCTTTCCACCCAGGAGCACAGAGTGCCCTCAGGTGTTCCTATCCCTGCTGGGAGTTGGGGGGCACTTCCCCCCTGGCTGTGGGACAGGGCACAACCTCCAGCAGGAAGGGGACATCTTGGTGTGAAGCCACCAGGGCCTGGAAAGCCCCAGGGCCACCTCCATGTCCCTGATCTCCAGCTGAGGGTTCCAGGTGTGGAACGGGGAGGCCGAGCCACGGGGGGGGGGACACATGGGGACCCCAGACTCACTCAGTGACGCTGACTTGCAGCGGGGGGACGGCGTAGGAGTAGAGCAGCAACATGAAGCTGGTCAGGAGGGTCCCCAGGACCAGCCCCTTGCACATGGACCTCCAGGGCTTCCCATAGCACAGCATCCTGGTCACCTGCAGCCAGAGAGGAGAGAGCAGGGACTGGGGGGTGAGCGGCTCCAACGAGGCACATGGACATATCATGGGCCTGGCAATTCCCAGGCAAGCATCCCACTGGTGCTGGGCGTGACCCACAGCAGATCTGTGGCCCAGGCCCAGCGGCTCTGCCTGCCCAGCCAACCTTTGCCCGCCCTGGGAAAACCGAGCGACTCCCAGGGCGGGAGAGGCTGCAGGGCTGGGAGTGGGAAAAGGGGAGCTATGGATGGCCCAGGGGCAGAGTGGGCAACTGAGGGACAGAGTGGCCATTCTCCGCTGGGACACCACCAGCACGGGCAGGAGGTGGGATCCATTTTCCCAGGAAAATCTGCAGGGCAGAGCAGGAGCTGCAGCAGCTCAGAATGGTTTGGGTGCTGCAATACCCTCCCTGTGCAGCCTCTCCAGCCCTGCCAGCAGCAGTGGGGGGCTCGGGGGGCCCCTCTGGCCCTGGCAGCTCGGGCTGGCCCAGGGCTGAGGCTAGGGACACGGAACTGGGGACAGAGGGGTGCAGACAGGATGACCCCCCCAAACACAAGACACACAGGGCACACACAGGGCACACACAGGGCACACACAGGGCACACACAGACACCACCGACCCTTCGTGTGCTCGTGTGTGCACCAGCACACACACACCTCAATGCGTGCTCATATACACACACAGGTGCACACACAAAATGTGCACACGCAAAATGTGCACACACATCAGCCATGTTCACACACACACACACGCTCACAGAGCCCCTGTGCCCACTGCCCCCTCCCCAGCGCTCCCCCCGTGGCCCCCATCCCTGTCCCCTCCCTCCTCCTGGGACACGGGGGTCACCCTCACTGTGACACCGCATTGCAGCAGCGCCGTCCCCTGCGGCAGGACACGGGGACGTGGGGACACGGGGACGTGGGGACACGGGGACACGCCACCCGTGACCGCGGCCCTCCACCGCAGAGCTCCGCGCCCGGGAGCCCCCCGAGCTGGGGGCTGAGCCCCCCGGCCCTGCACCCCCATTTAGCGGCGGGAGCAGCACCGCCTGCCCGCCCCCGCCCCCGCTGCTCCGCATCCTCCGGAGCCCCCCGGCCAAGGCTGGCTGCGCTCCCTCCGAGCAACACCCCCAAAAACACCCCCCGGCCCCCAGCCCCGCCTCGCATCACCCCCCCAGCAGCCCAGAGCTGCCGCGGGTATCGCAGCCCGGCACATCGCACCCCCAGGCTGAGCCCCCCGGTCCCGGCTCACCCCGGCACCGCGGATACCCAGCCCGGCGATCCCGGGTGCCGCTGCTGCCGCCGCTCCCCCGCTCCGGCCCCCCCGGCACGGATCGTCTGTGCTGCCGAGATTTCCAGCTCGATGAATAATGAATGGAAAATGCAACCGGAGCCCCGGGCTGCGGCCGGGCGCTGGGCACCGCGCCGCGCACAGGGGGGAGCTGGGACAGGGCACCTGGGGCACCCGAAAAGCTCATCCAAGCTCCCCCCCGCTTCCCCTGCAGCCCGGACCGCTGGAGCAGGCGGGGCTGGTGCATCCAGCCTCTTCCCGAGGGGTTTTCATGTGGATGTTAGGGTGCACGGGGGGAGCAGGTGGCTCTGACTGAATCCCAAAACCACCGTGTGGGTGGGAATGTCAGATGGCTCCAGGAGCAGCTGGAGCTCAGTTTTACACGGTGGCTGTGATTCCATCACAGTCACCACCTGGCACCACCTGGAAAAGCCACTGGCCCTTCAAGAGGGCTGTGGGGACACCCACTTTTGTGGGTGCTGCCAAGAGGGAGCAAAGCTGGCACCAGCTCCGCAGGAGCGAGTGAAATGGCACCATGAGCCCCTCTGATGAGTCCCAATGGATCCCAGTGAGTCCAGATGTGTCCCATGGATCCTGATAGATCCCTGCGGGACCCCACCGGGACCCCAGGACCACACAGCACCGAATTCCAGAGCTCTGGGATGCCAAGGGGATGCCTTGCTCCACCCTACCTGCCTCCCAGGGGTGGTTCTGGCAAACACTTCCCAGCCAAATATTCTATTGACTTTGCCTTCAGTGAGCAGCTTAATTATTAATAGCTCGTTAGGAGAAAGTGGTGTGTTGAGTGTTCTCCTGGGGCTCCCACGGCTGGGGTGTGCCCACGGCGCCAACCGGCTGAGATGCCCAGCCAGAGAACACGGCTGCACCCACCACTTCGTCAGGAGGTACCCCCTGGGCCGAGCCAGGCCACGCAGCTCTGCAGCCCATCTCCGTGTCCCAGCAGCTCCCCATCTCCCTGGGGGCATCCCAGAATCTGCTTTTGGCTTTTCCCTACAGGCTCAATTTTTTAGGGCCAATCCCCAGCCGTACACAAGGTGCATGCATCTGCTTGCTCCTGATCCCACAAACCCATGGACACTGTTTTCCACAGGCCCCATCCCACACAGGCCTGCTGCTTCCTACCCCCCTGTCCTCTCTGTGCCCCATGGGTACACAATTCCCCTCATCATCCTGCCCCATAGAGCTGCTTCCTGAGCATCCCACTGCCCCCCAGCATCCCAACACTCTCCAGGCATCCCAACACCCCTTAAAGCATCACACTACCTCCTTATCAACCTGCTGCCCCCTCAGCATCCCAACACCCCTTAAAGCACCACACTACCTCCTTATCATCCTGCTGCCCCTCAGCATCCCAACACCCCTTAAAGCATCACACTACCTCCTTATCATCCTGCTGCCCCTCAGCATCCCAACACCCCTTAAAGCATCACACTACCTCCTTATCATCCTGCTGCCCCCTCAGCATCCCAACACCCCTTAAAGCATCACACCACCTCCTTACCATCCTGCTGCCCCCTCAGCATCCCACTGCCTCCCAAGGACCCGACAAGTATCCTGCTGCCCCCTTACCCTCCTGCCACCCTCCAAGCACCGCCCCAGCATCCATCACCTTTTCCTCTCCCGCACCGCTGGCGCTGGGCCGTGCCTCTGCTCTCCTGTGCTGACTGGGGTGCCAGGGGAGCGGGCGGCACGGGGCGGGGGTGCCGATGCTGCTCCGACATGGAATAAGCTCTTCCCGGGCAGCTCCCCGCAAACGCCGGCTTTTCCAAAGCCTCCCCACTGCCCCGCGCTGTTTATGGCATCACCGGGATCGCAGGCCTGGGTCACCGGCCTGGGAAGGGGGAGCGGGGCAGGAGTGGCAGCGGCTGGCGGGGGGACGCGGGGCTGCGGCCGGGCACTGCCCGGCTCCCCGGGACCGGCCCTGGGTGCCCGCGGCCACCCCGAGCCACCCGGCCCCCACCCACTGCCGGGCACAGAGGAGCCATTCAGCCCGCGCCGCGAACAACGGGGACATTTGTCTCCATCTGCGTCCGCGGCCTCAACGGGGACATTGTCCCCGCGGGCCCCACTGCCGGCCCCTGGGCTCCCTGCCACCAGCCCTGGGCGATGGTGGCTGTCCCTGGGCGCTGGCACTCACCTCTGGCCAGCCGCCGTCCTCCTCCTGGTGCCACAGCACAGGTCATAGCCTGGCTGTCACCTCCCGCAGCCGCAGCTCAGCGGGGCTTGGGGAGCTGCCTCCCGCTCCCCGTCCCAGCCGCCTGATCCCTGGGGCACCCTGGCCACGCACCATCGGCTCCTCTTCATTCTCCCGCAGCTTCCCCGCCCTCCTTCCTCCCTCCCACTATGTTTCCATGGATTTATGGCCTTAATGACAGCAATATTCTGGTATCTCCAACCTTAGTCGAACAATCATGGTGCCAACAGCCTTTTCATAATCACAGCAGACTCGGCGCCCAGAGGGTGCCCTGGCCACACCAGGAGGGCTCAGCCCTGCCACTGGTCCATCACCCTGCATGAGGCAGGATGAAAAAGGGGCTCCTGTGCTCCTGGATGCAGCCTTGGCTCTTCCTGCTGCCCTTAGTCTCTGTCACTAAAGGGTGTGGTGTTGGTCTTGGGGCCCCAAGCCAGGGGTGACCACCTTGGCCATGCCTGGCACTCACCATCCCTGTTGGACGCGTTTGAGGTTCAGAGCTTGTCCCTGCGGGACCTGTGGGCATCGCCTTGTTAGCAGCTCTTGACTCATCCCTGGCCCATCCTGTCTGACCTCATCAGTTCCCACACCAGGGTAAGCTGCATGACCCTCTGGGATCAGGAAAAACCAGAACAGCTCAGTTTTCATCATCATCATCATCATCATTGCAAGAGGAGGGGTGAAGACCAGCAATCACAGTCACACGATGTGATGTGGAATTGGCGTGGGAGCAACGAGCTGTCCCACCCTTTCTCTACAGGGCACCTCTCCCAGTTCCAGGTTTCTCCTTCTTTTTTGAGATGGGTCACAAAAAGATTCCAGGTTTCTCCCTTTTTGTGGGTGGCTTATGAAGGGGTTCCAGGTTTCCCCCTTTTTTTTTTTTTTTTTTTTTTTTGGGTCACAAAGTACTTCCAGGTTTCCCATTTTTGGGGGAATGGGTTGTAAAGGGTTTCCAGCCAGAAGAGAGCAGCAATGGCCAGTATGTGGCTGCTCAGCCGTGGGATGCTGACAGCCTGGGGACTGACATGACCGATCCAGGAAGCCAAAACCCCCATTCCCCACATCCACCACATCCCACAGGGGTGGCCAGGAGGGCTCCACCACCTCACCCACACCCCTGTCCCTGCCTCTCCCTCCATTTGGGGGTACAAAGCAGCACTCACTGGAAGCCGTGCTGGCCGGAACCGTGGATCCCGATGGGACCGTGGATCCTGATGGAACCGTGGATCCTGAGGGGACCGTGGATCCTGAGGGGTTGGGTGAGGAGGCCGAGGGTGGCAGCACCGAGGGGTCACACTCGGCCGGACTCACGCCTCGATGGGCCGGAGAGGCCCCGGGCGGCCGGACCCGTCTGTGGCCACCGGCACCGGCCTTGCCCGGGCCTCAGCCTGGCCTTGGCAGTGAGGCCTGGGCCTGGGGCTGGTTTGGGGCCGGGGATGATTTATTTGGGGCCAGGGATAATTTATTTGGGGCCAGGGATAATTTATTTGGGGCCAGGGATAATTTATTTGGGGCCAGGGATAATTTATTTGGGGCCAGGGTTTTGGGAGCTGGGGCTGGGGTTGGTTTTAAGGGGCCGGGGGCTCCCAGGGGTTGAGGCCCTGTTTGGGGTCTCCTGCTCTGAGGGGAGCCCCGGCCCCGGGGTGTCACAGGGACATTTCTCTCTCAGGATTTTTCATAGAGGTGCACAGAGAGAAAGAAAAATAATTTATATTTCTGCTCCTTGTTTTCCCATGTGGAATGTGTTTGGAGAATTGTTTACCTGGGGTGATTGTTTGGTTGTATTCTGGTGAGGATTGTTTGAGCCTGGTGGCCAATCCAACCCACCTGGGGCTGGCCACAAGTTGAGTTAGATATGGTAGGTGGAACAAGTAGGTTTGTAGTTTTAGTGTCTTCCTTTATAGAGTATATTAATGTATTGTAGCACAGTTATAATAAAGAAATCATTCAGCCTTCTGATCTGGAGTCACACATCATCATTTCTTCCCACTGGGTTCACCTGCATTTACAATACCAGGGGTGCCTCAGGGGTCGGTCCTGCTCCTCTTGGGAGAGGGAACAAGGAGAAAAACATAGAAAAGGAAAGGCCTTCCAACCCTCTGAAATGGGAAAAAAAAAAAACCCCAAAAAAAAAAAAAAAAAAAAAAAAACCCCAGAAAAAATAGAGGGGGAAATAGGAAAAAAAGGGGAGAAAAAAAGGGGGGAACAAGGG